GCTCCATAACTACCTCCCGAGGCACAGGTAGAACGCCAGGCTCCGTCAATAATAATAATTGAAAAGTGAGTGTATCAGATTCCAGTTTGGTCATTCGGAATTCTGGCATGGTCACATGACGCCCTGGTTGGATCCCGCAGGCTGGATGCTGGAACGTTCGGGACCATGGGGGTGGGGCTTGGCTTCAGCATTGCAGCTGCTATGGTGCAGAGTGACCCGAGTACAAGGCAGCGAGTCGTCTGCGTGGAGGGGGACAGCGCCTTCGGGTTCTCTGGCATGGAAGTGGAGACCATTTGCAGGTGATGCAGTCCGTCCCCCATCCCACAGCTACGATCCTTGCAGCTGTAACACTCGTCCCCCCCCCTCCCCCCCCAGTTTGGTTGGCTGATGACAGTTATACGCCTTCAGGACCACTGACACCTGCTGGTTTCAGCAGAATCTTCAGCTGTTTTTTCTCTGTTTATAGTTTTTTTCTTTACAGAGTGGTTTGCCAGGATTGTTATATCGATGTACTTTTTATTCCAACAAATGCAGCGGTAATTCAGAAAGTCTTCGCTGTCATTTCCGGGATTAATTGGCAAGGAAACAATGTTGTACATTTTATAGAAATGAACAGATACATGAACCCATAATGACGTAATAGAGGGTCCATCACTCAGGTACAAGCTGCCAGTGATCATCATCGTCGTCAATAACAACGGGATATACAGCGGCGTAGACGTGGAGACATGGAAGGAGATGGCAAAGATGGGCGACCTCACCACTATGTAAGTGTCTTGGAAGGTGTGCGTCGCCCCGGCTGAGAGATTTAGCGGCATGTGCGAGATGTGCACGATGACGGCCGACGCCCACATCCCCCAGGGCTCCTCCCGTCACGCTGCTGCCGGAAGCCCGATACCATGAGGTCATGTCTGCGTTTGGTGGGCGGGGCTTCCTGGTACGGACACCGCGGGAGCTGAGGGAGGCGCTCAGCCTCAGCCTGGACGACTGGGAGAGGCCAAGCCTACTGAACGTGCTGATAGACCCAACTTCAGACAGGAAGCAGCAGGTGAGATCTGATTATTCACAAATCAGGTGCCTGGGTGAGGCTCCATTTTGCTGTGTTTCTGCCTTACGTATCACATGGCAAGCGGCAGCATGAGGGCAAACCCCGTGTCAGTGTTTTTTTCCCCTGTATGCTACACTTTTCATGCTACATGGTCTACATGCAACGGACGCTACATCACCATGGCCTCTGGACTTTATAGAACTTGAACCAATAACATTCAAATTGCACTTCCCTTAACGAGCTGCATTGGGGCCTGGTGCCCGATGTCAGCTGGCCTCTCCTTTGTCATTAAGGACAGGGCAGCTTGCTGGAAGCCCTGCCTTCCTCAGTGTCCTATTAAAGCAGATGTTACACAAGCCACCACCAGGGGGGGGCCCTTCTCACTAATATCCTACATTTGTATGCTAATTATAGTGGCAGCCTCTGTTATGGAAAAAATGCACTAGCTTCATAAAGAATACATTTCTAAAATTGCAGTACTCATGAATTGTAGGAATGGGTTACATGGAACTGTCTGTATCATATTTCATTCAGTTGAAGCAAAGGTAAGTTACTTTCAAAAATGAGTCTAGGCTATTTTGTTTCTTAACTATGTAAGTCTAGAAAGGTCATAAAAAATTATTTTTTGATACTATTTTTTTCCAAAAGTTGTTGTTTTTGCTGCTATTTTTATGATTATATTAGTGCTGTCAATCAATTGAAAAAATTAATCCAGCCAGTCACAATAATACGCTGTGATTAATCACGATTAATCACTAATTTAAAAAGGTATTAGGCTATTTGCTTAAATTTTTTGTTAGATGAATCAAAAACCTGTGTGGTCTTGGAACAAAGAAATGCAGGACAAACTGGTCAGAAGAATCGCATTTTTTTAATATAACATCTTGGTTTTGATAGCTGAAATCATTCAGTTGCATGATTCCAAATGTGTAAAGTCACTAATGTAATTAGCAACTATGTTTTTGGGAAATGTAGCCCCTTCTGTTTTTATTTTTTAATTTTGCAGCACGACTTTGTTTCTTCCATTTTTGAACACACAGAGAACAGCCTTATACTTACGTAAAAGTCTCATAAAGGTAGTAAAAAATGATTAAAAAAAAGTAGTGAAAAATGATAGAAGAACAACCTAGTTACCAATAGTTTGCATATTGTTAAAGACTTGACTTGTTTTCCTGACCCAATAACTACTGTTGGAATATCATGTCAATTATAAATTTGAAAAGTAGACTGTTTAAGACTTCTGGGGGTGTTTGTTTTGCGTGTCTAACAAAAACTTGCCGAGTTTTTTAAACAGTTTGGTGGGATCTCTGGTTTATCCGCCAACTCCAAAGGGTTCATTTGTGTTAAAAACAAAATTCTGCGCCAGGGCTCGCAGATTAATCACGAGCGTTAATATGTTATTGTTGACAGCACTATATATGTGTGTAATATAGATATCTGACTGGGCTGGACAAACCTGCAGCGTGGATCAGCACAATCAGCATCATTACATTAGCTTACTTTTCAGAGAATGTTTTAAGCTGAAGTTTAGTTATTTAATGAACATGATGATGCACACAGCTGTACTGTCAGAGAGCGACACGGCATGATATTTGTTATTACAAGGACACAACAAGGAAAAAAAATAGTAGCGA